GATCTCTTGACCTCGTGATCCACCCGCCTCGGCCTCCCAAAGTACTGGGATTACAGGCTTGAGCCACCGCGCCCGGCCTAATCACTTTAACTTTCCACAAAAGGGTATGAAAGAATGAAAGACTGAAGACACTGGGTGAGACGGGCAGATGTCCTCCATAAGCACATTTCAAACAACGTCGTCAGTGACTAGCCCACTAAGGTTCAGACTTCTAGTCCACGACAATTTCTATTTAGGTAATGTATCATTTTTCCAACAGGGGGACAAAGGCATTACTATTAGAAGTTGCTTTTCCGGCACCCGTCCTCAACATTCAATAAATATGAACTCAGTGACCTCTCGTCACATCTAGTATAAACTTCCTTTAGGTGCTCAGCTCCCCTCTGTAACACCTCTTCCCAGAAGCTCTTGGTTGAACCCTATAGTACCTTGGAGCTCATGAGACAGCTTATTCCATTGTTAGTAGATCTAATTGTCAAAAAGCTCTTCTTGTGTTTCTACTCATTGCCCTTATGCTACATTTCAAGGCTCCCAATGATCACTCTTTAGGCATTTGATTACAATTCTTGTGTCCCCTCTGTCTTCTCCAGGTGAAACAGGCCTACGTCCTTCCCCAGATGATGGGGTCACCATCTCTCATTATTCTAGCTGCTTTCCTCTGAACATGCCACACCCTCTCTTAAAAAATGGCCAACAGGTAACGCACATGAAATAATCCTGTCGCTGTCCCTCAGATGACCCAGAAATGGTTGGTGATTGTTGAGCAGGAGGAAGGGGTCAGTGGGAGGTGCTGCGTGCTTAGGTGCAGTAATGTGCATCCATTTCAGAAAAAAAAAAAAAAGAAAAAAAAAGGCCCCCAGGCTGGATCACAACTCTCCTGCATGGTTTGACCTGCAAGACTATTACTTTCCCTGTTCTGAACTGGAGTTGCATCACACTGTTGACTCATATGGAGCATAAAGTCAACTGAAACCACAGCCTTTCTTTCTTGACGTGGGCTACTGATGGTGGTGTGAGTCATCTTCCTCACACTTTGTGCTCAGTACTTAGGTTGAGATGGGTTTTCATTTGTTTATTTTAAGCCCAAGCATATCCCTGTTAAATTGTATCTTCCTGTTAAGTTTTATGGTCTGTCTTTCAGTTGCTGAGATCTTTTCATAGTCTCATTTCTCATTAAACAAGTTAAAAAACCAAAAACATTTTACCTGCTTACTATGTGCTAGGAGCTAAATAAGATCACTGCCCTTAAGGAGTTTATAGTCAGTTTAGTTTGAGAAAGAGAAACGCATGAACAGGTAATGCCAATATAATGGTTTAAATGATAACCTAAGTCTCAAAGAGGAAGAGAGATGATAATGTGTTAGGAACACCAAAGACAAGGCCACCAGCTGAGCAAACGCTAAGGAAGGCATGAAACAGAATGGACCACGTGGGGAACTACAGGCCATCCCATAACACTGGAGCATGAAATTCAAGGTGGGAAAGAGCAGGAGACAAGGCTAGGGAAGAAATGTGTCTAGAACACAGAAAGCCTCCTAGACAATATGAAGCAGCTAGTTCTGTATGCAAGGGAATGCCACTGAGGGTTTTTTTAAGCAATAAAGTCAGGGGCCCATTTTCACTAAAGTGCTCTTCTTGTTGAGAAGGCAATATTAGAGGCAGGGAGACCAGTTACAACACTACTGCACCGTAGTCCAGGAGAGAAATGATGAGAGCCTCAAGTTTGGAAGGAATTGGGAGAAGGTGGGTTTAAGAAATACTAAAGGTCTGAAGCTAAGGTGACCATTTAAAAAGGTAAAAAAGAAAGAAAGAAAAATACTGAAGGGATAAAAATGGCAGGACTAGGGAATGAGGGTGCAGAATAGGGGAGGAGTCTTGGGTACCTCCCAGAGCCCAGTTCTTCACACATGTACTTCATCTAATAGAAATCAGGTAAACCAGCCGGGTGTGGTGGCTCACGCCTGTAATCCCAACACTTTGGGGGCTCAAGGTGGGAGGATTACTTGAGCCTAGGAGTTTGAGACCAGCCTGGGAAACATTGTGAGAATCTGTTTCTACAAAAAATGAAAAAATCAGCTGGGCGGGGGAATCACTGGAGCCCAGGAGGTCGAGGATACAGTGAGCCATGATGCTGCCACTGCACTCCAGCCTGGGTGACAAAGCGAGACCCCCATCTCAAAAACGCATAAAAAGTAGTTGGCAAACTTCAATTCACATGAATGCCTAAAGGCCCACAATCAAACAATTACTAAAAATGTGAGCCAGGTGGAGGGTGGAGGGCTTTGGTAAGCAGGCTCCCCGCTGGCCCTTGCCTCAAATCCTCAAGGCTCTTACCAATTCATTAACTAGCCCTCTTTGGCTCTAGTCATCCCCCAATTATGAACCCTCTTAACTGTATCATTCTGTCCATGAAGTTTTATCTACAAGAACTTAGGACAGACTTCCCATATGCCTTGCCAAAATTTAGATATTATATTCATAGCATTCTCTGATAAACCCTCACTGAAAATTGTACTCATGATGTTAACAAGTTTATCCTGGATTGGCTTACCAGAGAGCATTTAAGTGATAAACATTTATAGCTAATAAAACACTGTTTACATTCATCATCTCATATAACTCAGAGAACTCTGCTGACTTCTAGAAAACTAACATAAACATAATGCAAATGTAAAACATTAAGGTAACACTTAGAAAAATTTATTTGAAATTGAAAATTTGCATAGGCTTGCAATTTGAGAATTAAAAGTATAGATTTATGTAACATACCAAACTGTTTCAAAGTCTGCCACAGGGGGCAAAATGGGGACTCCATAGAGGCCACCAACATGATGGTACTCCATAGTGGCCACCATCTGCGGCTGCAGCCACACCTCTAACTCTTAGCTCAGACGTTGCAGAAGTCCCAGCTCACCAGGAGGCAACTTTTTATTTTTTTATTTTCTTGGAGACAGAGCCTCCCTCTGTCGCCCAGGCTGGAGTGCAGTGGCACGATCTTGGCTCACTGCAACCTTTGCCTCCCGGGCTCAAGTGATTCTCCTGCCTCAGCCTCCAGAGTAGCTGGAAATACAGGCACGCACCACTACGCCTGGCTAATTTTTGTATTTTTAGTAGAAACAGGGTTCCAACATGTTGCCCAAGCTGGTCTCAAACTCCTGACTTCAGATGATCCACCTGCCTTGGCCTCCCAAAGTGCTGGGATTACAGGTGTGAGCCACTGAGCCTGGCCAGGCAGGCATCTTTATAAAGCAGTGGGGGAAACCCCAGGCAGTTGGGATCTTCAACCTCTGTGTCGTCTCTGTTTCAATGTCTAAAAACTGAATCTCATAACAATTTAGCAATAAGAAGAGCACAGTACTATCATCTCCAGGTACCATTTCCCCGTCCTTCCTATCCACTGCTGCCAGAGGACAACACTACAATCAAAAGGAATTTCATTTGTTTGGCACAGTCAGAAATACAGCTCAGAAATCTGCTCTTAAAATTGTAATTAAAAACAGGAAGAACTATCTGGGCCATTCTGGATAATTTTTAAAGGAACCTGTTATCTGAAAGAGATACAGTCCAGGCTAAGTGTAGTCTGCTGGACTTGAGAGCTGCATACCTAGATCCATTTGCCTGGTCTGGGGCCTTAAGAAGGGATGATGTCACTAGGAAGCCAGGGAATGAAGGCACTACCCCAAAGAAGGAGGAGATGGGGAGCAAGCATGCTGATGAAGGGAATGAAGGGAGATGTTCCTTTGGGACTTCTTGACCTACACTGCCTGTGACTTGAGTATTAACTCCGTAAGAATTTACTAAGCATATACAGGTTGAGCATCCCTAACCTGAAAATCTGAAATCTAAAATGCTCTAAAATCAGAAACTCTTTTAAGTGTTGAAATGATGCCACAAGTGGAAAATTCCACACTTGAACTAATGCAGTCAATACACATGCAATATATTCAGTGACCCCAAGGAAAAAATAAAATCACCTTCTGGTTATGGGTATAAGGTATGTATGAAACATAAATGAATTTTGTATTTAGACTTTGTTTTCATCCCCAAGATATCTCATTATATATGCAAAGATTCCAAAATCCAAAAAACAAACCAAACCTGCAATCTGAAATATGTCTGGTCCCAAGCATTTTGGATAAAGGATGCCTAACTGTATTAGATACTCTGGGAGATACAGAGATACAGAGCTGAGAAAGACAAAGGTCTGTTTTAAAGAGCATTTTTTTTTTTTTGAGACAGAGGTTTAGTCTTGCTGCTCAGGCTCACCTCAACCTCCACCTCCTGGGTTCAAGCAATTGTCCTGCCTCAGCCTCCCAAGTAGCTGGGATTACAGGCATGCGCCACTACGCCTGGCTAATTTTGTATTTTTAGTAGAGATGGGGTTTCTCCTTGTTGGTCAGGCTGGTGTCAAACTCCTGATCTCGGGCGATCCACCCGCCTCAGCCTCCCAAAGTGCTGGGATTATAGGTGTGAGCCACTGCGTCTGGCCTCAAAGAGCTTTAAGACCAATGGGAGGACAAAGAACAAGTACACAATAACTATAAAAATATGGCTGGGTGCAGTGGCTCATGTCTGTAATCCTAGCACTTTGGGGGGCCGAGGTGGGTGGATCACCTGAGGTTGGGAGCTTGAGATCAACCTGGACAACATGGTGAAACCCTGTCTCTACTAAAAAAATAAAAAAATTAGGCAGGCATGA